AGAAAAACTGTTAACACTCGCACTCGATTGCAAATCCACTATAATTATACATATATGTGTAATACTTACATATAACGATCTTTCACTTCACCCAATGCTCTCTAGATCGAAAAATAAAAATAAAGAATAATAATAAAAAAAAGGCAAAAACTACATATGCATGTACATATATGCTCCAATAACCCACAATAATATTTTCACGTATTGTCTAAAAAATAAATACTTATATAGAAACAAATAAAATAAAAAAACGCTAATAAAAGTTACATATGGAAATCCTTAAAAATGGTGTTTTTTTTAATTAAAATTAGTGACTTTAAAAAAATTTTAGAAAGGAAGAGGTTTGCAATACATTTATTGTTAATTTTGGAATTAATTGCTCAGTTTATTTATCACTGGAAAAATTTGCTTGCTCTTAATAAAAGTTTCAATTTCAATCTGAATATAAATTCTTATCTGTTTCTTTATCTTAATCTTAATTTTTACCGTCAAGCATTTCTGCTCCGGTGTCTGTCCCACAATGTCGCGAGTCTGGCAAAATTCTAAAACGTAAAATTTTCAATTCTGTGCCAACTGACTGGAAATGCGGAATGATGCCGAGTCTTTCACCACCTAGACTCTCCATCGCAGGGGTGGCGTTCCACCTCCTTTGCTACAAAATCGCCTGGAATGGCTAAGTCAGTGTAGCCGCTGCATTTTTTTTACTGCTCTAGTTCTATTGGTATGTCGTTGTAAAGCCATGGCGAACACTCTGCGCCATATGTATATACCAGCACTGCCATGATGCCAAACCCAAAGAGTGCAGTTTTGTACGAAGAGAGTGCGCGGTTTTCTCAATATCTTACTAAGTCCAGAATAGCACTTGTTAGCAATTTCAAGGTTACAATTATTTTTGGTGTTAAATTTCTCAACTTTTTTCGAAATTATTGTTGCCAAGAGTGACATGAGTTTTGACGACAGAATATACATACATACATACACATATCGTATTGTCCTCTCTTACAAGTTGCCGTATAAGTGCTAAAAATAGACAAACGATAGGCAATAAGCAAAATTTTTTACAGGTATATGTATGTACATTTTACCAGTAGGCATATCTAATCTCTTCCAAACTGTATGACGTTAATCACACGCGAGGTTATGACTGAGGCCTCCGGTAGTCAGTAACACGTAAATGGCAATATAGCCGTTATCAAGTGCAAGATCACTTTCATTCATATTTAAAATACCTGTTAATATGCGGCCAAGCGAGTCCTGCCTCAAACTGAGAAAGTAAAATTTCATTTATCGTTGGGTTATAATCTGGTTTATAAGGATTGATGAGAATGGTAGCAAATCAAAGGTACCAGCTTTAAATTTTTTACAGTTTGATGCACCATTTGATTTTAATAATTATTATAAACGGTCAAGCAATCTCCTGCAATAACTTTTCGAAAGTACTTGCATTGTCAAGTGTGAACGCACTTTTACTGTAGAGATTAAATTACTGGGGGGGTTCGGCAAAAGTATGGGGCACGAAATCTAACCAAAACAAAAGCGGAAAAAACAAAAAACAAAACTGTTTGTCTGCTAAAATTTTTATCTCAAGGGTACAACCAAAATAAGTAAATAATAATACAAAAATGGCAAATTCGGGTTACCTAACATTAGATAATACACACAAAGAGTTGTGGAACTGTACAGAATTGATAAGAAATTTTTNTAAGTAAATAATAATACAAAAATGGCAAATTCGGGTTACCTAACATTAGGTAATACACACAAAGAGTTGTGGAACTGTACAGAATTGATAAGAAATTTTTTTTTTTACTGTAACGCCAATTTGAAATTCTGAAGCATGTATAACAACTTACCATCTACGTAGTTTATCAATAGCGACTATCTTAAATAAAAGACGAATTAGTTATATTTAATAGTTTCAGTACAATAGCATCCTTTTGAGAGTACGGTGGCCCGCAGCAGTCCCAGGGAAAAGGCGAAAAAAAGTATTATAATTAAAATGGTAATTATAATAAAGTGAAAGCAATATCAAAAAAGATATATTTATGTATGTAAATGTGTTAAGTAACATTTTTGAAGGCAGCGGCGGATCAACGGAGATTGCGATTTCGTATTAGGGATAACAACCGTTTCTCGGAAAATAACTATAGAAGAATCAGTCCTTATTTGGAATACATATTTTTTATCGATTTATTCAAAATATCTTCTGTCATTTGTATCCAGTGTGAACGTCCTTTTTTTTTGTAGAATGCAGATTCAAAATATGGCGTGCCACGAGTGCTTTATTTTATTTCTGTGCAAATTTTTTATACAAACTGCTTGGCTAGTGATATTATTTCCAGTACTACCAATTTCTGGTCTGCTTCTTGATGTTAGTGCACTAATGAAGGGACCTACAACTTTTTGCCGCCTCCTAATGACAATGCGTGTTAAGAGAACCTTTTTCAAAAGAGAAATGCACTCGCAGTTTTTCCTTTGACAGCCATGTGCAAACAACTGTTAGAAAAATTCCTTTTCCATTTTTAGATTTTGCCCAGACTAGAGATCGAACTTGGGTACCACCAAGCTGTAGTACGCACCTATAACTCGGTTCCGAATTCACTACTATTTAATAAAATTGTTTTCTCTTAAATATTATGCTCACTTAGTGTTCAAAAATTTGCGTTGGCCTTTTGGTACTGGTTACATNTATCGATTTATTCAAAATATCTTCTGTCATTTGTATCCAGTGTGAACGTCCTTTTTTTTTGTAGAATGCAGATTCAAAATATGGCGTGCCACGAGTGCTTTATTTTATTTCTGTGCAAATTTTTTTATACAAACTGCTTGGCTAGTGATATTATTTCCAGTACTACCAATTTCTGGTCTGCTTCTTGATGTTAGTGCACTAATGAAGGGACCTACAACTTTTTGCCNGATCGATTTATTCAAAATATCTTCTGTCATTTGTATCCAGTGTGAACGTCCTTTTTTTTTGTTGAATGCAGATTCAAAATATGGCGTGCCACGAGTGCTTTATTTTATTTCTGTGCAAATTTTTTATACAAACTGCTTGGCTAGTGATATTATTTCCAGTACTACCAATTTCTGGTCTGCTTCTTGATGTTAGTGCACTAATGAAGGGACCTACAACTTTTTGCCGCCTCCTAATGACAATGCGTGTTAAGAGAACCTTTTTCAAAAGAGAAATGCACTCGCAGTTTTTCCTTTGACAGCCATGTGCAAACAACTGTTAGAAAAATTCCTTTTCCATTTTTAGATTTTGCCCAGACTAGAGATCGAACTTGGGTACCACCAAGCTGTAGTACGCACTTATAACTACCAAAACCATGATAATAATAATTATGAAGCAAATAGGCATTTACTCTCGCCCTAACCTTCTATTTACTANGTGAATTTTAAGGGAACCTTTTTCAAAACAGAAATGCACTCGAAGTTTTTCCTTTGACAGCCTGGTGCAAACAACTGTTAGAAAAATTCCTTTTCCATTTTTAGATTTTGCCCAGACTAGAGATCGAACTTGGGTACCACCAAGCTGTAGTACGCACTTATAACTACCAAAACCATGATAATAATAATTATGAAGCAAATAGGCATTTACTCTCGCCCTAACCTTCTATTTACTAATGAGAATGGGTACTCTACGATGAGAGTGAGGATAAGAGTTGACTACTATTCTCATAGGAATTATTGCATCGATTACGAGTTCACTACTATTTAATAAAATTGTTTTCTCTTAAATATTATGCTCACTTAGTGTTCAAAAATTTGCGTTGGCCTTTTGGTACTGGTTACATTAGTGGCTCAGGCAGCCATCACTGATGGCGCAAGAATACTCGCAGTCTTCGCAAATCCAGTCAAAAGTCACTTCCAGATGCATCGGGCATTGATTAGCGAGTTAATAAAACATGGCCATGAGGTAAACTAACTAGTCTCTTGATGGAAAATCAAATATGCACCATGTACATATACATATATTTCCTTAAACAAACATTAGGTCACCATGATAACCGCGTACACACTTGAGCCACTCAAATTAGGCAGCAACTACACTGAGATACTGATCGAACCCGTATACGATGCCTGGAAGGCTGGTAAGATTCTATGACCGATACAACCTTGTATGATCTTAAAATGTTTAGTACTCTTTCGCCTTTAAAGCTAACGAGCATCACGGTACAAATTCACTTTATGAAATGGACATGAAGCCAGCTTTTCTTATGAAAATGATGGAAGCCCNTTTCTGGTCTGCTTCTTGATGTTAGTGCACTAATGAAGGGACCTACAACTTTTTGCCGCCTCCTAATGACAGTGAATTTTAAGGGAACCTTTTTCAAAACAGAAATGCACTCGAAGTTTTTCCTTTGACAGCCTGGTGCAAACAACTGTTAGAAAAATTCCTTTTCCATTTTTAGATTTTGCCCAGACTAGAGATCGAACTTGGGTACCACCAAGCTGTAGTACGCACTTATAACTACCAAAACCATGATAATAATAATTATGAAGCAAATAGGCATTTACTCTCGCCCTAACCTTCTATTTACTAATGAGAATGGGTACTCTACGATGAGAGTGAGGATAAGAGTTGACTACTATTCTCATAGGAATTATTGCATCGATTACGAGTTCACTACTATTTAATAAAATTGTTTTCTCTTAAATATTATGCTCACTTAGTGTTCAAAAATTTGCGTTGGCCTTTTGGTACTGGTTACATTAGTGGCTCAGGCAGCCATCACTGATGGCGCAAGAATACTCGCAGTCTTCGCAAATCCAGTCAAAAGTCACTTCCAGATGCATCGGGCATTGATTAGCGAGTTAATAAAACATGGCCATGAGGTAAACTAACTAGTCTCTTGATGGAAAATCAAATATGCACCATGTACATATACATATATTTCCTTAAACAAACATTAGGTCACCATGATAACCGCGTACACACTTGAGCCACTCAAATTAGGCAGCAACTACACTGAGATACTGATCGAACCCGTATACGATGCCTGGAAGGCTGGTAAGATTCTATGACCGATACAACCTTGTATGATCTTAAAATGTTTAGTACTCTTTCGCATTCGAAGCTAACGAGCATCACGGTACAAATTCACTTTATGAAATGGACATGAAGCCAGCTTTTCTTATGAAAATGATGGAAGCCCAGGGCGTGGCGACCACCGAACATGCTCTAAAGCAAGCAAAAGTACAGGCTATAATTAATGCCAAACAAACCGAGGGTGTCTACGATTTACTACTAGCGGAACAATTTCGACAAGATGCCTTCCTTGCCTTGGCTCACGTCTATAAAATACCCGTGGTCTGCTCTGCTACATTTGCCAAGCAGCTCTATATGAGTCAAATGTTCGGCCTAATTACGCCTTGGTCGTATGTGAGTTCGAATTGTCTACCACTGCGCGACCGCATGAATTTTTGGCAAAGAATTTATAATACCTATGCCGCAATTGAGATGGATTTTCATCGTGAATTCAGTTACTTTCCAAAAATGGATGCGCTGGTGGAGAAATATTTCGGACATTTGCCAAGTAAGGACTTTTTAGTGTTTAATAAGAATGACTGTGAAATTACTTACTGTTATGTAATTGTGGTCAGCATTAGCCATAAATTATATTACTATAAACTTACATACAGATTTAGTGTATTTTTATCTAATCTGCACTACTTTTTCACAGTTCAATTCCCCAGTGTTTCAGCTATGCAGAGGAATCTCTCGGCCATGTTCATCAACAACTACACACCTTTGGCAGCGGCTACACCGACTATCGACAGCATCGTTAATGTCGGTGGCATACATATCTATCCACCAAAGCCACTTCCTGCCGACTTGCAGAAATTCTTAGATGAGGCCAAGGATGGCGCCATTTACTTCAGCTTTGGCACACAAGTACAGGCCAAGGACATGCCGCTAGAAAAGTTGCACTTATTCCTAGACGTCTTTCGGCAGCTAAAACAACGCGTCTTGTGGAAATTCGAAAACGACAGCATACCAAATTTACCCGCCAATGTTTTAATTAAAAAGTGGCTGCCACAAAATGATATCTTAGCTCACCCTAATGTGCGTGTCTTTATCACTCACGGTGGGCTCTTTGGCACACAAGAAGCCGTTTATCATGGCGTACCGGTGTTAGGGATGCCGTTCTTCTTCGATCAGGTGAATATGTTGTTAAATTAAAAATGCTCCGAATTAAATACTACATAAATTTTGATTTGTGGCTAAATAAATTATGTAACTCTCTTCTT